ATGAAGGTCGAGCGGCCCTATCCCCCGGCATTTACGAACAGTCGTCTGCAGTATTCGCGTGCGAGGGTGGCTCCCAAGGTGAATTTCATGGCTGAMGTGCAGAGGAGATTGCCTCTGCTGGTACTCGTTGTCGTTGTATTCCTGATTGTCGTCTTCCTCCACGTGTGTTTGTCGTGGCGGCCGTGGAAACAACATCGCAAGAGGCGGGCGTCGACGAAACGGGCGGCAGGGGAACGTCCGATGGCGGGCATGCAGGCACACACAACCTACGACTGTGGAGCCTCCACGGCAGTACGACCCATTTTGTACAGGCATCTGGATTCGTGGGAGACGCCACTGCCCCCGTCGGACGAGGAGCCGGAGCCTCCAACGTTGCCTCTTGCCAGCGGGTCGACGCAGCTGTTGTCGCAGACGGTGCGAGCAGGCGAGTCGGCTAGCAACGAAGGCGGCGAGTTCACCTCACTGATGCACCGAGGCTTGGGAGATGACGACGACGACGGAGTTGATCTCAGGTTCGGGTTGTGTTCTGGCGGCGCTAGGGAGGCGAGCCGTACGTCCATCATCGACGCCGATCCTTCGCCACGTGGCGTTCAACATGCTGGAAGTCAGCATACAGAGCAATCCACACTTCGTGGCGCTGCGTTCGTTACTGGCAGTGTCGGCCCTTCAGCAGTAGCCCAACAACATGGATCGATTGCACCGTCCGCCGATCGATTGAGAAGTACCTGCCCCGCACGCAATGGAGTCGCAGTCGGGTCCCTGCGCATCGGCGGTGCACGTCCTTCGATGCCGAACCGCACAACGCCGACCCAACCCGAGTTCAGGGACGAGGGCGCCTGCAGACCACAGGTGCGTACAACACCCACTGTGGAGAACATCACACGAGGAGTGTCAAACATGCGGGCACACAGCGATGGCGGCGACGACGATGGTGGTGGCGGTGACGACGCCGACGAACGATTAATGGAGGACGTGGAAGCAGGGGACGACGACGACAACATTCGTATTCGGCCTCCGGGGAAGACGGGTGGGAGGGGGAGAGGACGCAGCAGAGGTGCTGTTCGTGGTCGATCCGTTGGGCGTGGCGGAAGAGGTGGCGCCAGCGACGATGGCGGGAAGTCTGCGACGTACTGGTCTCCGGAAGACCAAATGCTCCTGGTGAGATGCAAGCGGGAGCAAGACCTGCACCTCGCCGGGCTGGGTCACAATTACGGTCGGATGCAGACCAAGGAGTGGAAGTGGGACGACATTGCGAAGCGCATGGCGAACGCGGGGAGGCCTAGAGACGCGAACGACTGCATGAAGAACTGGGACAATCTCTTCCAAAACTATAAGAAGATACAGAGGTTTCAGAATGCGAGCGGCCAACCAGATTTCTTTAGGCTATCGAATGAAGAAAGGAAGGAGCACAACTTCAAGTTCCAGATGGAGAGGGTGCTGTACAACGAGATCCACGCAGGAATGGTGGGCAACCACACCATTTTTCCGCCCAACGTCGCCGACACCGGAAGTCCGGACGGGGTGCAGCTGCCCAGGCGAGGAGCGGGTGGTGGGGAGTCTGTTGGTAGTGAGGCCGGTGGTGAAGGCTTCCCTAAAGAACGTTCTTCTGCGAGGGACTCCGACAACAACGCAGGCAGCGGGGCTGGACGAGGGAAGCGGAAGAATGCGCGTCAACAGGCGTTGGAGTCGATCGCTGATGTTATGGACTGCTATGGCGAACTGATGTCGTCGACGATCGAATCGTCTAGCAAGCGACAATGCAACATATTCACGAGGCAATGTGACATACTCGAGCAGGAAGTTGCAGTCCCAAAAGCGCACTATGCGGCGTCCGATGAGACGCGGAGGATGATGTGCCACGCACTTATGGAGATCGTTGCCGCCATTCGTGGTCAGTCGCCGATGTAGGGCTCATTCAAGTCCAGTCATTGCGTTAGTAGTTGGAAAATTTTATTTTAGTTTTTGTTGTTCACGTTTTCTTCTATCGAGGAGGACGGTGTGTGTGAGTGTGTGTGTGTGAGTGTGTGCGGGTGTCGTTCACACAGTTGTGTGGGTGATGTTTTTTTTTTTTTTTTCCCTCAATCTTTTCCATGACTGTCACAGTGCATCGTCTGCGTTTTGGTAGATCAACAAGCAAACAGCAACGTCTGAAAGGGTGTGTGTGGTTTCGGGATCATTGTGGACGAGGGGGTTTCGAGTGGAATGGGGGGGGGGGGGGGGGGGGGGGGGGGGGGGGGGGGGGGGGGCGAGTGCATTGACGCGCATCGCCAGGGACGTCGAAGGGTCTTTTCGCGCCTTGGGGAGGATTAAAATGACACGCCAGGGTAGGCAGGGCGGTCGCACGTGCCATCGTCGACGATGCCGTTTCCCGCCATAGAGAAGCGACGTGAAGGGTGGTCCATCTGCGAGAGAGTACTTCAGTCGTGCGCTTCCCAACCCGCATGAATGTCGTCCTCACGAGGGTGTCTCCAGTACCGAAGCCCGCCGCGCCTGCTGCACACCGACTGCAACGACGCGGGAGTGGTACAAGCCTGCTCACCGTGGACCGCCAAGCTCGCCTGCAGAGGTCGCGACGAAGCATGTCTACGCGAGGGAGCGCCCGTGCGAAGAAGCGTGATCGAGTCCCTGACGACAGCCAAGGGCAGGGAAGAGGTCGCCGACATGTCCCGAAGGCGAAGAGGGTGCGTTCGGATGATGCGTTCGCAAGGGTGCCTCCTCGTGGAGCGCAAGGTTGGGCGGCAGCAGCGGGAGGGGACTACAATGACGACTTCACGAAGGAGGAAGAGCAGGCAGAGGCGACCACGTCTGCAGTACGGGAGAGCGGTCGGCAACGCTCTTCGGATCAAAGCGCTCCGAAGAGGATGCTAACCCCTCCACCCGAGGCGCAGCAACTGCGTGCCCGTGAAAGGCGGAAAGAGAAGGCTGCCGTCGTCGATCTTGGCGGCGATGATGACGAACCCTTGGAAAAACGTCGCCTGCGCACTAGTACAACAGCGACTCCACCGCCGGCGGTGGTGGCACGCGCTGCGGTAGACGAAAGGCCAGTCACGGGTAGACTGCCCGCCACGCCGTCTCAGCCACGTCAGCGCAACCCACCCGAGTGATGACGGAGGGTCCGTCCAACGAGGCAGCGGGGGGAAAGTCGTGGCAGACGCGCGCGAAGTTGGGGGCGAGACGGCAGGTGCTGTCGGTGCGGGTGCTTCAGGCACTGTGGCCCCCGTTGCGACGGCGAGAGAGGATGCGCGTGGCGAGAAGAAAACCGATCGGGAGGGCGGCGAGCCCGGTTCAAGCCGGGTACGTAGGGGAGTGATGACGAAAGACCTCAACGATCGTGCCGTCCTTTGGGTTGATGACAAAGCTTTCTGGACGACGGGGGAGGGGCGAAGACTTTACAACATCGTCCATGAAACGAGAGAGTACTTTGTCGCCATCGCCAGCGAACTTCCACCGCCCGCCGTCCCTCAGAGCGTCGTACTGCCCAAATCCAGCACGAGGGTAGCCAGGATCGCCGACCAATCACAATTGCAGCAAGCGATCTCCCGTGCGGCGGCAGTGGAGAACATTGCTCTGCACATCTTGCACGGCTGGGTATTCAAGTCGGGGAGCCGCCCAAGGGGATACAATGTGGCTTTCCATTACTCGTTGGAGTCCGTAGCGACAGACATTTCGCGTGTTATGTGGTACGGCGAGGAGTGGTGCAACATAGTCAGCCCGGCGGTTTGCCACGCACACGATAAATCTGTCAATGGATTTGCCACGGTGGATCGCCGATGCGAACATCGAGGACAGATCGGACAACGATGACATGGCAGCGCACCAGGAGTCCACCGTAATCTGCGTCGCGCATACGTTCCGCGCGGCGGTGCAAATGGGTGCGCTCATCGACGGCGATTTCATCTCCCATTATCGTCTTTGTTGGGTGGATGACTGCTTTAGGCTGTTGTTGGCGGCATGCATGTGGATAATGCGCATGGCGGGAGACGATCCGCGCAGCCACTACAAAGCTTTCTATTTTGCGAGCCTCGTGGCGAAGCCCACACTCGTAGCGGTCATGCATCGCTCCTTCGATTATCGAATATCCATCGTCCGCGCCGCATATGTCGTGACGGAGAGGCTCGGGAAGGTGAACGCCACGTTGGGAGAGTACCCCGACTACATCCCTCAATGGGCGCCCTGCGGCATTGGTTTCAGGCACGACGCGAGCACAACGAGGCCGGAGGATGCAAAGAAGTTAGATTGGTTGGGTTCGGGCCCCCCCGATGTTGACAACAACGACGACGGAAAAGATGACGCGTAGGGGGTGGCGGGGTGGCCGGGGTTTGTTGGTGGTGGTGGTGGGGGGGGGGGGATGGTTGTGTAAACGCGGCCGCATGTACATGTGGCTGGTCGTGATGGGCTTCACTGTGGTTGGACTGTTTTGAAGTGCGCACCTGTTTAGAGTGGGGATGGAGGTGGGACTCGCCAGAATCGTCGTCGGTTGCGTAGATGTCTAGCGCGTCGGCTGTGGCACAACGGCGGTTTGATTGATGCCAATCGTGTATATTGCGTTTAGTGCAGCTGTTTAGTGTGTCGGTCGTGGGAGTCGACGACGAGTTCATTGAATTCATTCGTGTATTGTGTTTTTATCATGGCAGTTCGCTGCACAAGAATTCATAGCGCTTTTAACGCACCTTTTTTTTCTCTCATGTGTCCGCTGCTCTCGTCTCTTCGGTGGAATGATTCAAAGATGATTGCCTCATATGCATGCACACAATCCATGTTTACCTTTCTCTGTTTGTATTTGTCGTCTTTAACTTACGTTAAGCAGCTTTCATCAATGATTTCAACAGCCATGTTTGATGTCCCACCACACCACCAGACGAAAACATGCGTGACAAACGAATTGAAGAGACAAAAAAAAAAAAAAAAAAAAAAAAAAAACAAATGAAAAAAAAAAAAAAAAAAAAAAAAAACTTGGCAGCACACGACACCTTTGAAGACAAACGATTTAAAGAAGGAGGGAAAAAAAAAAAAACAAAAAAAAACAAAAAAAAAACCATTTCCAGAGAGTCACACACAAAAAAAATTCTTCCGATATTAAACGTTCGCACAACTGTGCGGAGAACGCAACCGGCCAAACGATGGAAACAAGAAAGGAACTCATCGACGACAACCATGCCGCCATTCAATCCACCAAGCAACTTCGCGCACGACGACCATGGACACGGGCCACGTCACAATTCCTCCCGCCTACCGATCGCACCAACCCACGTCCTCCCGCTTCCCCCCCCCCCGCACGGTCCTACATCAGAGCTAGGCGGTCTCGAAGTGCATCCCGCAACAAGTCCCCGTCCACGTCCGTGCTCCGTCGCTGCCCGCCCGCGCCATTCCCCACAATACCCAAGTCTACTCTACGCCGAACGCCGTTCTCATCCACCTCCCACAAAAGGTTCTCATCGAAGTCGATCCCCGCGTCAAGGAGGATGTTGTGGAGAGTGCACACGGCCACGAATTGCTTTGGCAAGGTGTCCAGGTTCGTCTTGTGGGTGCGTAAGAACAGACACCACATGCACTTCAATCGCCCGAATGCCCTCTCCACACACCCCCGCGCCACCTTCTGCCCCGTGTCGAAGCGCTCCTCGTCAGGAGCTTGGTCGATTCCTCCGTACGGCTGCACGATCCATGGACAAGTGACTGGATAACCGTTGTCGCCCAGCAGGTAACCTTGCGTGACGACACCGTGCGGGAGATTCTCCGGAGGTGCGTCGAAGAGCTCGCCAACTTCTGCACGCCTCCACAATTGGGAATTGTGCAGGACACGGGCGTCGTGCACACTTCCCGGGTATCCGACGTGGACGTCGAGGATCCGCATATCCAAATCCACCACCACCTGCGCCTGCACAGAAAACTTCTGTTTGCAGTCGTAGTAGTTCTCCAAAGGTGCGCCGGCGGGCTTGTCAATGTAGATGTGTGTGCAGTCGATTGCGCCGAAGCAGCTCGGGAAACCCTTGTCACGGAAAGCGCGCAGAATCTGCACACGTCTACGGCTCACTGGCCACTTTATCGCATCGGGGTACGCCTGCAGCGTGCCGAAGTGACATCGCGGACGGCCTGCAGTCCAGTTGCCCTGCCGATCCCGGAGGCTGACGTGCCGCTTTCATATGTCTTTCCTGACGCCCACTTGTACAACACGAAAGCGATCACCTGCTCCACTGGCAATGGTATCCTGTAGTGCGTGACCTTCTTCGTACGCGGCGCACGTGGCTACGATCTGCCTGAACATGGCCATCGACATGCGCAACTTCTAGTGGTAGTACTCGTCCGTTGCGTCATCACACAGGCGGAGGTCCCCCCATGTTCCGCCAGTCCGTCGTCTAATCCACCAACGCAGGGTCTGTCGCGGGAAAACGCCAGGCGACAGCGCGACACACAACTCAACGACTGCCTCACACGTGGCCACGCAATCCGGCGCTTCGGCAATGCTCTGCAACAGCGCTTTTCTTTTACAGAGCTGCGTCAGCATGTCGCGTGAGGACGACGACATGCCGCTCATCGTGTTGACGACGACGGCAGTCACCACCATCGCCACCGCGTCGATCTCTTCTTCGCGTAGACCGTGCCCACAGCCGCAAACGTCCATCTCAGAGAATCGTTTCGCGTCCACAGCGTGACGCCTGCCACAGCCGCCGAAGACGTGCCCGATGCTCAACCCTCCAGCAGATCCAAATCCACGCACGCCGGAGCCGAAGAAGCGTCTGCCGCTGTACGCTGCTACAAGAGAGGACGTGCGCCCGACCCGAAGACACGCCCGCTGCTCTACGCTTCCACAGGACAGCACGCACGGCGGAGGTGAAGATGTGCCTTGCAAGGAGGTGCACCCACTGGTCACAACTTGCGTGGACTTGGAAGACGGATACCCATGCTGAATGGTTCGCCAGCGCCGTCGCTTATACGTCACACGCGTCCCCTGGCCGTCCTCCACCCCGCCACCCTGCGTTTGCGAAAATTCGAATTTGAATTTTCGAAGTTCGGGGTGAGCGCGCTTTTCACCGCCCCCTCCTCACCCGTCCAAGGGCCTCCGCGAATTGTACCATGGACACCAGCTAGGGTTAGGACGGACATCGGCGGCGCGGCTGCGTATACGCATATAAAAACCGGCCGCGAGAGACCTTTTAGGACGAATCCTAAAAGATGATTTTTAGGATTGCGTGTAACGACGCCGCACGAAATCCTAAAAAAACTTTAGAACTCGTCCTAAAAATTTTAGGATTCTTTTAGGAGTGTTTAACGAGACCCTAAGTGGAGTGATGTTCGTTTTTTCGGTTGTTTCTAGAGTCTGACAGCTCTAGACTCACTCTCGAAAATCTTCGAGAGTCTGGAGTAGTGGAGTGAGATCCTATCTCCCAAAAGTATACCGCCCAAAGTGATAGTTGCGCCCCAGTGACACTTGGACCTGCCACGCACCCTCTTTTTTTTTTAAGGAAGGGCGGGGGGGGGGGGGGGGGKTGAAGCTTCGCTCTGCCCCTTGCCAGAAGTCGCTTGGATTTTTTTTGTCTTTTTGAAACATCAACAGGCAACCGTCCATCCAGCAGGGGTGAGATCGCATGCCGATGGGCTGCCTAGTGATGGGGTGTCGCTCCACTACACTAGACTCAAGAAAAAAATTGTGAGTGCTTCTAGAGTTGTCAGATGTCTAGAACTCTTGATAAAGAAACATCGCTCCACTTAGGGGCTCCCCACACAGGCTTTCGAAACGTGCAGAATCGACGCGCCACACAGCCTTTCGAAACAAGTTCTTTTGAAAAAGTTTCGAAAGGTGTCAAATTGGCCGGCGTCGAAAGTCATTTTGAAAAGGTGAGATCCTCCCGCCTGTCACTAGCATTTTCTCGAAAGACCTCGAGTGATCTTGTGAAAATGCCCTCTCGAAACGGTCAATTGGCAAAAAAAAGAAGAAAAGAAAAAAAGAAAAAGGGGTGATTACAAGGGTCTGCCTCCACTACTCTGGACATGTACAAAAGACAAAAATTATGGTGGTGTATCTTTCCATGCTCTAGCCAAAGATTCACACTCATTTTACACGCGCCGAGAGCAATGGAGCCAGACCCTAATGTGCATATATAGAAAGGCCTCGGTATTTCGAAAGTCTGTGTGGCGAGGGGGGGGGGTTCCTTTCGATGACCAGCCTTTCGAAAAAAGTATGACACCTTTCGGAAAATGCCGGAAAGGCTGTGTGGCGAGCCCCTTACTCTAGAATCAAGAAGTATAGAAGCACTCACGAATTTCCCAGCGCTACATGACAGCCCTTCTAAAGCGTTAGATGACAGCGCCAACTCGTTCTGATGGCCGGGGCAGGAGGCACACTTGTGATAAGCCAGCATCCGTACTCAGCGACTTCCCGTACCCTCGGGGGAAAATCCCACGTAAAGCCTCGAAGTACGGGTTCTAGATAATTGGGAAGAACGGGGTTTCATTTTTTTTCCTTTTTCTTCTTTTCTCTTTTTTTTTCTTTTTTTTTTCTTAAACCGAGAGGAGGGATGAAACAGAAACTTATTTTTCTTTCAGGACTGCCCCTGATGACTTTCTCGCGTGGCCGGTTAACAGCCGCGCAAGAAATTCAAGAAACAGTGGGGAATTAGCGTGGGTAGGAATTTTAGAATTTTGAATTTTTGAGCGCGCGGCTGTTTTTCAATTTTTTTGTGCGCCGCGTAAACCCTTTCTCCCGCTTTGCATCCCCTCGCCATCTTCCCTTCTTGCCGCACATTTCCTTCTTGCATGCCTCTTCTTCTTCCCTCCAGCGAAGTCCAATCCCCTCCTTTCCCATCCTTGCGAACGATTGGCTGTGTGATTGGGATGGTCGGATCAATGTGGTGAGAGCGGAAGGTGCACCCCACTTGGACGACCACCCCAATCACGCAGATCGCTCGACTCACCCGCTTCGATCCTTCTGGAACCTCTTCCCTTCTTCGGTCCTGCTCATCTACACCATGTGCTTCGCGCTGGGTCTCCGCCGCCTTCCACGCTATAAATCCTCGCAACTCCTTCCTCTCGCTATCTTTGATCTCGACTGCAATGCTGCGCGAGCTATGTGCGAGGTCTGAGGCGTCAAACAGGCTTGACGAGCCCAAGTGACAGGCGGAGTGACGACGTGGGGCTGGCTTAGCGATGGACTTGGAGAAAGGCAGTCAGACGGATTGAGCGGTGGTAAAGATCGGACCGCGACAGCGGCAGGGCGTTGTGGCTATGGTTGTCAGTGGTTCTGATGGATTGGGGGCTGGGCCCATGACGGTCAGTCGTGTGAGGAATTATGTATACTAAGGAGCTCGCTTTTATCTCCATTGCTGCTTTGTCCCGATGTGATGTGTGCAAGGTCCCGATGTATGGGTATTCTGTTGTATGCATGCTGTGGTATGAGAGTTTATGGATGTTGGATGTCTCATTGTCCAGGAGGACTTTGTGAGTAAGTGTGTGTGCGCTTTCAGGGGCGATGATAGGGATGTTTAGGTGCCGACCGTCTGCATGAGTTCATGAGTGTGTTGGTCCCTCCTCCCTTCCCTGAGCCCCTTTTCACCCTTAATGCCACGTGTATGCGCGGGATCACGCGCCCACCTCTTCCCGCTCCCCCTCCCATCCGAGCGACGCAGGATCCGAGCGAAACGGTCAAACCTTAGCCCTCCAGTTTCACTCGATAACCAGAGCGATCAGTCGTTCGCGTCCCCGCGACGCGGCGGATCTCTCCTCGACTCAGCCAAACCTGCCCAACGTTCAGGTTGACGCATAGAGAGAGAGAGAGAGAGAGAGAGAGAGAGAGAGAGAGAGAGAGAGAGAGAGAGAGAGAGAGAGAGAGAGAGCAAGGCAGAATTTCGTCGATCGTTGCATGGAGCCAGCGTTTGTCTCGGTGGACGCGAGCCCGGACCCCTGCCTGATCTCGACTAGGACGGTCGACTAGGATGGAGCCAACGTTCGTTTCGCCGGTCGACTAGGATGGTCAATTTAACCATGCGATACACTTCACAAAATCAAGTCAGACTTCGTACGTCGCGCCTAGTCCTTTGTTCATATCCGACCATAATCTTTTGACGACAGAAATTAGCGAGTGTTGCGCGCAAGACTCTTAATAAAATGTCACGATGACGTATTCCTCATCATATGGACTAGCCATGCACGAGTGCAAAGATAGTCGTAATGATAGTATCAATAGCCACTCGGTCTTTATTGATTTTGAAGGTTGTTTTCGACACGTACTTTGACAACGTAGTCAAACACCACCCCTGTAGCTAAGTCTCAAGCGCCCCCTATAGCGGGTACCATCACGACCCCTTGCTAAAAACTGCAAATATCACATCCGATTCGTTAAACCAACGACACGTCCCCTAAAAAATAAACTCGCTCGCCGCCGTTAAACAACAACATTCTCCCACCTCAAAACGTTACAGCCGTCGTACCGTAAAAACGACAGCACCTCCGCTCTAGAATTTAGTACAGTCAACGTGCTCAAATTTCAGCAACATAACCCCACTGCAAATAATAGTCTCCGCCACACCAAAATTATGGCGGCATAACCCCCTTAAGAGGTAATGTCGGTCCGCCAAAGTTTTGGCAGCATCACCCCCTTCAATCGGTTGCATCACTGCCGAAAAAAATCGGCAGCATCTACTCGGACGTCGCGGACACGGATTATGGCTATGGTTGCTCGTTATAGTTGTAGCCACCCAACTCCACCTTCTGCCTTCGCGCAGGCCTCCATCTCCTCCAACCGCTCCAATTTCAGCCCAGTACTAAGGCAAAACCTCCATAGCCTTAACTAAGGCTGGTCTGTCTCTGCTTCAGCGGTTCCTCCTTCAACCTTACAGACCATTAGCAGCTCCACTAGTAGCTTCTCCCTCAACGCTGCAGACCTTCAACACTTCTTTCCACCGTCTCATCGCTGCCCCGAACTCCTTGAGGCCAAGTACCACACCTCAAGGCTTACCGTATACCCATAGCCTTATGTTATGCCAAACCATCGCTTCATTGTGCCTTGATTGAGTTTTACCCCTTTTAATATGGCTATGGACTTGGGTGCCCCCACACCATTGCAGTTATGGGTTCGTGCATCTTAGTTCTAGCAGCTAAGTCCCGAATTCATTGTTAGGCTGCCACTTGTCACCTTCTCCTTCACCTTCTACTGAAATCACGGAGCAACTGTTGTCACCTCATGTTGAGACCCATAACTTCTATTCCCAGATCTGACCAACCTTGTCTGGCATATGTACACCTTCCTCTGCAGCTTATGCATCTCACGGCGAGGGTCCCAAGATGTCTCATATGGTTTTGGAACCATGGTTTAAGAGCAACCTCTCATTAAAAATGGAGGTTGGCTCAACCTTTAGAGGTTTGACCTAAGTAAGCACCCCTTCGGGGCTCAATCGAACGAGGATAAATGAGACCATCAACTATTTGATAGTTCGAGGGCAGTAGAACTAGAGGCTTTATTCGTTGAAGCCCTGATTTGGTGTTGCTTGCAGACAATAGGATAGCCAACCTTTAAAAAAGGTTCAGTTGTACCACCTTGTCATGGTTATGGGTTAAAGAATTCCCAACCACAACCTTTCTCTATGTTTTGGTTTTCGTCAAATCTCTCCCATACTAAAAATGGGCATCCACATGGCAGCAACTAAGTCTTGCGTAGACATTGTCTTCCTTTTTTTGTCTGGCGCCCGTTCTGAGGAGTGCCAACCTAGTGAGA